TGTGTGGTCCTATAAATAAACCCATTGTGTCGAAACCCCTTCCCTCTCCCCACCTCCAGCAGCTGCTATTTTTGTTGTTGGGTTATGCCTTGGACAGGGAACAGGAGATCCCTGAGAGCTGAGATGAGGAATGTTGAAGTCCAGAAGTCTTCGGGGCTAACAGCATCCTGCCCAGTGGGTAGACTTGGTCCTGCTGGTAATTGATTTGGAAGAACCCGCATGTCCATGGCAGGTTGTTAGTGTTGGAGGAAGGATGCAGTAGGCTTTCCTGCAGAAGGACCAGTGTGGCTCTGGACCAGTTGGGGCGTGGGCTGGGGCACTCTTGTCTGCCTTCTTTCCCTGGGGAGGGGGCCGGTCTGGTTTGAATTCTGAGGTACTCAGGGCTAGAGGTTAAGTGGATTCTCTCAGATCTTGCTCACACCCTCTGTAGCCCAGGGACACTCCAGCTTGCTGTGTGCTTGCTGTGGTGCGAAGGTTGCTGTTTACAAGTGGACTCCTGGGTGTGACAGGCCGGGATTCCAGAGAGCAGCTGGCAGAATGCTAACTGGGGTCACAGATGATCCTTTAATTTAAGTGAGTCCCCATGGCTGCCTCTGCAGCTGCCTGCTCCTTCCCACCGCCTGCCCCTGGCTTTTCTCCCGGAGGACTTTTGGGGGAACAGCTGGGAAGTGAGGGGCTCCTCAGGGCCAGAAGGCCTTGGCTGATGGCCCATGTGAGGAGAGAGACCAGGCGGTCAGGCTTCACACGTGCACACTCACACTCACTCAGACCCTGCTTTCCCTGGCTGACTGAAGGCGGTATGGCAAGCTCTCTTCCAAGGCACCCATCGTCACACTCCAAGATTTAAAGATGCAGGGCTGAGGACTGTGCGCGCACAGGGCCTGCTTTGGGGTTGGGAGATGAGGGTGGTTAGAGAAAGCCAGCACTCACTCAGCTCACCGAGGAAAGCCCCAGGTTGCCCAGGCTTTCTTTGTTTGCCTGAGGCAGGGTCTCCCTCCTGTCCCTGGATTACAGGCAGAGCCACCGGACTTTTGAGTTTAAATTTTTACTTCATTTGCTTAATTTTGTTTTTCATTTATCTTGCTGCTTTTTATATTTATTTTACTTTAGTTTTTTTGTTTGTTTTGTTTTGTTTAGTTTTTAGTTTTTTTAGTTTTTTGAGACAGGGTTTCTGTGTAGTCGTGGCTGTCCTGGAATTCACTGTGTAGACCAGGCTGGACTTGAACTCCTAAGTGCTAGGATTAAAGGTGTGCCCTGCAGGCCTGTTTCCTGGCTATGTAAGGAGAGATGTTCCTTACCCTTCTGTCTTGCTTTTGAAGACAGTGTCTAACTGTAATCCAAGCTTGTGTGCTATATCTCACTACAGATCCCAGGCTCTCCTTAATGCCCAGCGGTCCTCCTGCCTCAGCGACAAGATTACAGGTGGGAGCCACACCAGGCTGACCAGGCACTTGTTCTCCTTGGTGTCCTCCTGCTGCCTGAGAGCCTTCTGCTTCCCTCCCTTCCTGCCTCCCCACTGAGGTCACTTCCCCATGAATCAGGCTGGTTAGGAGAGGAGAGGACACTTGTTTGCAATTCTGGCAGAAGCTTCCAGTTCAAGTTAAGAGTTTCCAAACCCAGCTGCCTCGCCCTACCCAGCCTGGCTGGCATGGTGTGCCCTGTTCCTGCCCTGCTGATAAGTGGGGAACCACACAGAGGAATGTTTGAAGCCAGGACCATCCTGGGATCCACGCCTGGGTTTTCCCCAGCAACTGGTACCACTAAGCCCCGGGAGAGGAGGAGAGTGCTTGGCTGGGGGCACAGCGACCTCTTCAGCTCTGGGGAGAGACATGGTGGCTTTGTTTAATGCCACCCATTATAGGGAGAGTTCTTCTGTGGGTTTGGCTTGGTACTAGAGGTGATCCTGTCCCTGTGCATTCTGGTGTTCCCTAGGGGACCACAGGAAGTTTCTTTGAAAAAAATCTTTCCAAGTTTTTTTTTTAGGAACAAATGCCTCTCGCTATGTGTCCCAGATTGGCTTTGAACTCATGACGTTCTACCTAAGCTCCTAGGTGTTCCAGGCTTGTGCCATCACACCTAACTTCTTTCATAAATCTTCAGCTCCAGGACCTTCAGGGCAGCGTGGGATGTAAGGCCATTTCTCACCAGGCCAGCAGCCTGGGCCCACAGGCTGGAGGGAGAGAAGTTACCCCCTGCCCTGACCTCGTGTGTGCTGTGCGCACAGGCGCACACACTGGCACACATATACACAAGTGTAATAAATATAGTAAAGACGTGCTTTGCTCACCTTCTGGTCCCACGCATGGGTGCAGACACGGGCAGACGTGCCCTCCCGCACCACCAAGTTTAAGTGCTTTGCTTTTCCTGTGCCGGAGGCTGACAGCCTGCTCTCCGCTGCTGCAAGCTTGCAGGCACCATCCTGAGGTGGCTGAGGCCCCAGGAGAAGGGCACAACAGTGTTTCTCCCACCCTAGGGATGACTCACGGTTCTCCTTGAGGCGACACTTGCAGAGAGAGCTCAGGAGAGACTGCGGCTTAGACACTTCAGGTCTCAGGGCATCCCCATGGGACCAGGGCCCTGACTCTGCATCAGTAGGGGTTCAGATGTGGAGAGGGGTAGTGGGTACCTTTGGGTTAGGTTGCGTCCACCTACATAAAACTCCGGTGGCCTCAGGCTCTGGCCCTCACCCCTGCCGGGGATGCTCTTTCCTGGTTTTATGAAGGGACATCCTGGTAAATTCCCTTCATCCTATTTTGTGTTTTGCCTTTGTGGGAAGAGCGTGAGCTGTTGGGCCTCCCCTAGCTTTAGCCTTATAATTTCCGGGCGCTGGGCCCTGCCCTGTTTATCCCACTCACTCCATCCTCCTTCCCAGCTGCTCTTCCCTGGGGGTTGCTGTGGGAGTAAGCTGGGGATCCCTGTACCAAGAGCCCCAGGCTGGAGCTGGGGGATGATACCCAGGTTCCTGAGCTGGGGACAAGGGCAGGACTGGTGAACGGTGAATGTGACCCGAGGCCCTTTGAGCTGTCCCTTACGTCTGTGTAGGGGAAGGGAAATAACTTCTTTAAATTGTTTCCATTTTTTCCCAGGCCCCCATTTCTAAATATATAAAATGAGATAATGTCGGGAACAAATCAGGTTATACTCAGCTCACTTTACAGTTTGAAAATAATGAAGGACTTTAACTTTTGAAGAGATCTGATGTTTATTTTATGTATATGAGTGTTTTGCCCGAATCCTGTAAGCGCAGCACAAGGTCAGGAGAAGATGATGAACCCCCACAGGTGCTTGGAGCTGTCGTGGGGTGCTGGGCACTGAACCCTAGTCTTCTTAAGAGCAACAGGCAGGCCACATCTCCAACTGCCATGGCTACACGTTCTTATGGAATGTTAAAAATGCGTACTAAGCTGGGCAGTGGTGGTGCACTAGGAGTCAGAGCCAGATCTCCCGAGTTCAAGGCCAGTCTGGTCTACAGAGTGAGTTCAAGGACAGCGAGGGCTACACAGAGAAACCCTGTCTGGCAAAAGCTTTAAAAAAAAATTACACAGTTCCACCTTTTCCGTTTTCAGAAGCCCTGCCCACTGTGGAATGCATGTATACAATAAGAAGGAGAACTTCTTAGGCCCCTGGGGTTGTAGCTCAGTGGCAGAAAGCTTGCCTAGCATGCCCTCTGGCACTGCCGTCCTCCCCCAAAAAATCAGATAGAGGGCTGGAGAGATGGCTTAAAGGTTAAGAGCACTGGTGCTCTTCCAGAGATTCTGAGTTCAATTCCCAGCAACCACATGGTGGCTCACAACCATCTATAGTGAGAGCTGCTGCCCTTTTCTGGTGTGCTGGTGTATGTGCAGGCAAAACACTGTATACATGATAAATAAATCTTTAAAAAAAAATCAGGTAAACTTCTCTCCTTGCCTGTTATTCCTGGCCTCAGAACTGCCAGCTGACCCCTCTCTAGGGTATAAGTTGGAGGCCCGGGAAGACTGGGCCTGCCCTGTTCTGACAAGGTAGGGGAAGTCCACAGAGGACAGAGCAGGCCAGGCTAGGCAGCACCTAAGACCCCAGTGAGGGAGCGGGCTTGAACTCTGGCTCACTGTTTGCGAGCCCAAGGCCACAGCAGGCTTTGTCCTGCCTGATCAGCATGTAGCAACATCAGAAGTGTCTAGTGAGTTTATCCGTTCTCACTGCGTCCTCAATATGCCCTTTGTACTGAGTAATCTTACCCTATTTCTTAAGCCAGGAAAGAAATTAAGCCTCTGGAGTCAGTGTCTTAACCTAAGTCTGTCCAGCTGTAAAGTGCCGTTCTCCCGTACAGCGGTCTCTGCCTGCCGTGGCCCCAGGGCTGGGCAGAGCTTGCATGTAACCTGTTCCATGTAGCAGACAGTAAGGCTTGGATGTGTAGAGATGAGACCACAGACATCCACGCCTGTCCAGTGTGCTGTGTGAACCAGCTGTGTGATTGCAACTGGATCCTTTACACCGAGAAAGCTGGTGACCCCAGCCAGCGCTGTCAGAGAAACTGGTGCAAGGGTGCAGAGGACTTCCAACTCAACATGCTCGAGGGACAGACTCAGTGTGTGCCGGGGCAAGCAGGCCTTAACGAGCTGTAAAATACGAGGGCTCCTGAAAGGTTCCTCTCCTCCTGTGAGCTGAGGATTGAGAGCCTGTGGGGTTGGAAGGGTACTAAAACACCTCATGGCAGTTAGTCTCACCTGTGAGGCTGGTGACTTCTGCCTGGCAGCAGGGTCCTTGGCTCTGGCTCTTCCCTCTGCTTGGCTTCTCCCCTCCCTGGGTTTCATCCAGACCCTGCAGGCCTCTGCCTACCGTCAGACCTTAGTGCCTCGTGTCTGATGTTGCCTCCCTCGGCCGTTAAGTGGAAGCTTTGAAAGCAAAAAGGCTCTCATCTTGCTCACGCCTGTGCCCCTGCACCTGGCAAGGGCCAGATCCCACTGTGCACCGGGGGTGGGGGGTCACACATCACTGACGTCACTCCCGTCTCTTTACAGGTGAGATGACCAATCTGGCTGCCAGAGTGAACAAGCCAGCCTGGTGAGGGATAGCGACCGGTGAGGGGCCTGGGGCCTGTGCATGCTGGTGATAGGGCCTGGGCTGGGGGAGAGAGGGGCAGCTCTGCACCTCAGTGGGGGTGGGGGATGGGGTTTAGGTGCTGAGAGGCTCCTTCTTCTGTGATCCAAAACCTCTAACTCCCTTTCATGGGGCTTTTAATCGGGTGAGGAGGAAGCAGTGGAGTTGGCAGCTAAGGAGCCTGCACCTCTTCCCACTAAGCTGCACATCTGCAGTGTGCCCACTGCCCTGTGTCATCCCCCACTGCTCCTGTGTCATCCTCCACTGCCCTGTGTCATCTCCCACTGCTCCTGTGTCATCCCCCACTGCTCCTGT